CATCGTCCGAAAATGTCACCCGAATCGTTCGCCGTGAACTCGAAGCAATGGCTCCTATTGCCATCGCCTCCGACGGTCCTCAAGACAATGCATCCACTGTCTCCCTCATCCAAGCCGTCGTTCGCCAAGAAATAGCAAATCTCGGCATCGCACCTGTTTGCGCTGTTCGCACTACCGAGAGCTCGGCTTCTGTTAACCAGATTTCGGTGTACCCTTTACGCTACGCTTCCCGCTACCGGAACCCTGCTGAATGGAGAACGTCGGATGATAGACCGATCTGTTTTCACTGCTCTCGTGCCGGCCACATTGCACGCTACTGTTGCAATCGTTGGACATCCAATTCATCTTGGAACACTGGGACATGGCGTCGCTTTGAAGGCAATTCTCGCCGCTTTTCTACTCCGTACGATCCACAGCCTGCTCCTACTACAGTTCAGGGCCGAAGGTTCAGCTGGTCACCATTACCCCAAGGCCGCCGATCTCTCTCGCCGATGATTTCTCGATCCAGGTCCCCTGCACGACCTGGGCCCTCAACTTCGGGAAACTAAACCATGCAGCTTTCGGAGGTGACGCTGCATTAACGACCCGGTTCTGCAAATCCTCTGTTGACGATTCCTACACGCCGCAATATTTTGGACCTTTTGGTGGATGACGTTACCGTTACTGCCCTCATAGACACTGGCGCACAAATTTCAGTCATGAGCGCCGCTCTCTGTATTAAACTGCGAAAAGTGATCACGCCTCCTATTCATCATCATCATCATCAGCCTGACTACGTCCACTGCAGGACAAAGGCCTCTCCCATGTTCCGCCAGTTAACCCGGTCCATTGCTTGCTGCTGCCAATTTATACCCGCAAACTTCTTAATCTCATCTGCCCACCTAACCTTCTGTCTCCCCCTAACCCGCTTCCCTTCTCTGGGAATCCAGTCAATTACCCTTAATGACCAGCGGTTATCCTGTCTACGCGCTACATGCCCTGCCCATGTCCATTTCTTCTTCTTGATTTCAGCTATGATATCCTTAACCCCCGTTTGTTCCCTAATCCACTCTGCTCTCTTCTTGTCTCTTAAGGTTACACCTACCATTTTTCTTTCCATTGCTCGCTGCGTCGTCCTCAATTTAAGCTGAACCCTCTTTGTAAGTCTCCAGGTTTCTGCTCCGTAGCTAAGTACCGGCAAGATACAGCTGTTATATACCTTCCTCTTGAGGGATAGTGGCAATCTACCTGTCATAATTTGAGAGTGCCCTCCAAATGTGCTCCACCCCATTCTTATTCTTCTAGTTATTTCAATCTCGTGGTTCGGCTCTGCGGTTATTACCTGCCCTAAGTAGACATAGTCTTTTACAACTTCAAGTGCACTATTACCTATCTCGAAACGCCTCCTATTAAGTGTGCAGTAATGCTTGCCCATGGGAGCACATTTACCGTTCTCGGCATGTGCACCTCTCGCATATGTATTTCTGGGCGCCAGACCGTCTTATCGTTCACCGTGCTTGAGCAGTGCCCACATGACGTGATTTTGGTCTCGACTTTCTCTCTGCGCACTCCGCCCTTATCGACTGCTCGACGGGTCTTCTTCAGTTGGAACTGCCTTTTGACGCCGCTGTTGCCCGTGATGCTCAAAGTCGCCTTTGTGCCACAGAGTTCCTGCATCTTCCGCGGCAAGCCGCGACTTACGTGCAGCTCGTGTGTGATCCGCCTGTGCGCGATGGTGAATATGTCGTTTCACCTATTACCGACGTTGTGCTAAAGCACTCCATTGCTGTCCCGCACATCGTGGTGAGAGTATGCCACAACCAGACCCATCTGTCTCTTTTGAACTTTGGTTTCTCCGCGCACGTGCTGCCTGCTGGTATTAAACTAGGCGTCATGTCGTCGTTGCAAGAGTGTGATATTTCTGAACTTTCGGCTCAGCAACCTACTCCGCACGTCAACTTGCTCACTGCGCCCAACCTGTCAAGCATTGACATTGCCAAAATGATAGCGCCAGATCTTTCGCCCTCCGGAGCACAAGACCTCCACCGTGTGTTGACATCCTATGCGGACATATTCAATCTTGACAACCGCCCTTTAGGCCAGACATCAGTTGTGACCTATCACATCAACACCGGCGATGCCAACCCAATTCATCGCCGCCCTTACCGCGTCTCCGCTGCCGAACGCTCTGTCATCCAAAAAGAGGTTGAGAAAATGCTCGTTAAAGGCGCCGTCAAACACTCATTTAGTCCGTGGGCATCCCCGGTCATGCTTGTCAAGAAGAAGGACAACACATGGCGGTTTTGCGTCGACTATAGACATCTCAACAAGGTCACTAAGAAGGACATTTACGCCTTACCAAGAATAGATGACGCCCTTGACTGCCTTCATGGCGCAAAGTTTTTCTCGTCCATTGACCTTCGATCTGGTTATTGGCAGATCGCTGTTGACCCACGGGACCGAGAAAGAACAGCATTTGTAACCCCCGATGGGTTATACCTATTTAAAGTAATGCCGTTAGGCTTTGTAATGCGCCGGCCACCTTTTAGCGCATGATGGATTCCCTTCTGCGCGGCTTCAAATGGTCCACTTGCTTATGCTACTTAGATGATATAATTGTTTTTTCACCGACTTTCGCAAGCCATCTTGAGCGACTGTCCAGTATTCTTTAAGTATTCCGTAACGCTGGTCTCCAGCTGAACTCCTCCAAATGCTGTTTCGGCCTTCGCGAAATAACTGTACTTGGTCACCTCGTTAACACATCTGGGGTACTGCCCGATCCGGACAAAATTCGCACAATGACTCAATGTCCCGTGCCCTCTTCTCCTAAAGATGTCCGGAGCTTCCTTGGTTTGTGCTCCTATTTTCGCCACTTCATCCGGAATTTCGGCGATATTGCGCAGCCTCTCACCGAGCTTCTTAAAAAAGACGTCCCATTTACTTGGAATTCACCTCAAAGTGCTGCATTTTCGGTGCTCATTGCAGCCCTCACGACTACGCCAATATTAGCCCACTTCGATCAGACTGCCCCGACAGAAGTTCGTATGGACGCGAGTGGCCACGGAATTGGTGCTGTTTTAGTTCAGCGTCAGCATGGGCGTGACTGTGTCATCGCCTACGGCAGCCGCCTTTCATCCCCTGCCGAGAGGAACTATTCCATCACCGAAAGAGAATGTCTTGCTCTTGTTTGGGCTGTCACTAAATTTCACCCATACCTCTTTGGCCGCAGTTTTACTGTTGTAACTGATCATCATGCACTCTGCTGGCTTTCCTCGCTCAAGGATCCCACGGGACGTCTCGGTCGTTGGTCTCTCCGCCTCCAAGATTACACCTTCTCGGTCGTGTATAAATCTGGTCACCTCCATCAAGACGCCGACTGCCTGTCACGGTATCCAGTGGATCCACCAGACGCCACAGAGAGAGCTACGGAGGCTTGCGTCTTATCAATATCAGACTTTCTTGATATCGCTTCTGAGCAACGCCGCGACCCGAATTTACTTCCCATCATGGAAAGCCTGAGTTCCGCTACTCCACCCACTTCTCTGAACTTGTATTTCCTTCATGAAGGTGTTCTCTACCGCCACAACATGCGCCCTAATGGTCCTGACCGCCTTCTCGTCGTGCCTTCCCATTTGTGTGTAGATGTTCTCCGACAGCTTCACGATGAACCTGCCGCTGGTCACCTGGGAGTCATCCGCACTTATGATCGCGTCCGGCGCCGTTTTTTCTGGCCACGCCTATATTGCTCTGTGCAAAAGTATGTCGCCAGCTGCGACCTTTGTCAATGTCGAAAACGACCAACATCGCTTCCAGCTGGCCTTCTTAACCCTATTGAGATCCCTGCTGAACCATTCTACCGCGTAGGGCTCGACCTTCTCGGGCCATTTCCCACTTCTGCATCCGGGAACAAATGGGTTGCCGTGGCGACCGACTACGCGACACGTTGTGCGATCACCCGCGCTCTCCCAACCAGCTGCGCTACCGATGTCGCCGACTTTCTGCTACATGACATCATATTGCATCACGGCGCTCCTCGACAGCTCGTTACTGACCAAGGCCGATACTTTTTATCTCGTGTCGTCCAGGATATCGTACGTTCCTGTTCCACGAACCACAAGTTCACAACGACATACCATCCATAAACTAATGGACTTGCGGAGCGCCTGAATCGCACTATCACGGACATGTCGTCAATGTATGTTTCTCCAGACCACCGTGACTGGGACGCAACGTTACCCTACGTCACCTTCGCTTACAACTCCTCCAGACATGACACCGCAGACTATTTCCTGTTCTACCTTCTTTATGGACGGGAACCCTCTCTGCCTTTTGATACGCTCCTTCCCGCTGGTTCGAGCTCCCCTGTCACATACGTCCGCGATGCCATAGAGCGAGCCGACGCAGCACGACAGATTGCCCGAGAACAGCTCTTACTTTCTCAAGCCTCTCAGAAAGAATGATACGATCGTCACCACTGCGAAGTTTCGTATGCACCAGGTTCTCTCGTACTCTTGTGGACCTCATTTTGTCACATCGGCCTCTCAGAAAAAATTTTATTTCGCTATGACAGAGCATACAAAGTCCTGCGCAAGATCACCAACCTCACCTACGAGATACAGCGAGTCGTCGACGAAGCTCACTCAATGCCACCACCATCCACTGTTGTGCACGTCGTAAGACTGAAGCCTTATATGTCACCCAACACTCCCCTTTCGTGACAAGCGCCGGGTCGGCGCTTTAATGCTGCGGGGTAGTGCCACAAGGCGGTAGTGGGATTGGGGCATAAAGCGGTAGAGGGTTCCTGCCTGAAAGAAAAGACTACGAAGTGAATAGAGACTGGTCCCAGCCCGCCAGTGTACCAGGCATTGTCGCGTGTAATTGTCGTAAATATCTGCAAATATACGTTTCCTTGTAAGAATATTTTCAAGTACCTGCAATATGGAAGGGGTTACATGGCACCAGATTACTGAAACAAGCTGTGACGCTTTGTTCATGCAGTCATTGACTTTTCATGTTTTCAGAAAATTCCTTAAGCAGGATGCATTAAAAGTAATAGAGTCATCAGTGCTACCAGCCTTCAGTAACTTGAGGAAATTCATTAAAGAGGTAAGCTTCCCTGAGTATTCTCATTTTCAAATCTGAATATTTTTTTTTTGCATGTTCCAATCTTGATACATTTGTGTTTTCTTCAAGTGATTTTGGCTGCATACTATAAGATTAGGCAGCACTTCAAAAGTTGGCTCAGAGGTTTTATTCCTTTTATACAAAAACAGCCAACAGCCAGAAAATCTGCATTTGGGACTGCGATCAAAACAAGTGATAATTTTTAGCACCAAGCTTCATACTTCGCTGGGCCTAGCTCTAGCCCCCCCCCCCCTATATATATATATATATATATATATATATATATATATATATATATATATATATATATATGACATCTAACAGACAATAATGCCAAGGAATGTATAGAGGAAGTTATTAGAAACTAATAACTTCTAATAACTTCCCCTATACATATTGTCTGTTAGATCTCATTAATATTGTGTCAAAACACGGAAAAACGAGCCCTTAAGTATACACCTCTTTCTTTTATATATATATATACATATATATATATATATATATATATATATATATATATATATATATATATATATATATATATCATCATCATCATCATCATCAGCCTGACTATGTCCACTGCAGGACAAAGGCCTCTCCCATGTTCCGCCAGTTAACCCGGTCCTGTGCTTGCTGCTGCCAATTTATACCCGCAAACTTCTTAATCTCATCTGCCCACCTAACCTTATGTCTCCCCCTTACCCGCTTTCCTTCTCTGGGAATCCAGTTAGTTACCCTTAACGACCAGCGGTTATCCTGTCTACGCGCTACATGCCCAGCCCATGTCCATTTCTTCTTCTTGATTTCAGCTATGATATCCTTAACCCCCGTTTGTTCCCTAATCCACTCTGCTCTCTTCTTGTTTCTTAAGGTTACACCTACAATTTTTCTTTCCATTGCTCGCTGCGTCGTCCTCAATTTAAGCTGAACCCTCTTTGTAAGTCTCCAGGTTTCTGCTCCGTAGCTAAGTACCGGCAAGATACAGCTGTTATATACCTTTCTCTTGAGGGATAGTGGCAATCTACCTGTCATAATTTGAGAGTGCTTGCCAAATGTGCTCCACCCCATTCTTATTCTTCTAGTTACCTCAATCTCGTGGTTCGGCTCCGCAGTTATTACCTGCCCTAAGTAGACATAGTCTTTTACAACTTGAAGTGCACTATTACCTATCTCGAAGCGCTGCTCTTTTCTGAGGTTGTTGTACATTACTTTCGTTTTCTGCAGATTCATTTTGAGACCTTCCTTTCTGCTCTCCTTGTCTAACTCTGTAATCATGAGTTGCAATTCGTCCCCTGAGTTACTCAGCAATGCAATGTCAACGGCGAAGCGCAGGTTACTAAGGTACTCTCCATTAACTCTTATCCCTAACTGTTCCCATTCTAGGCTTCTGAAAACCTCCTGTAGGCACGCGGTAAATAGCATTGGGGAGATTGTGTCTCCCTGCCTTACACCCTTCTTGATTGGTATTCTGTTGCTTTCTTTATGAAAGCAACAGAATACCAATCATTATATATTCATTATATATATATATATAATTCTCTCATTTGACTTGACTACCTAACTCCACTAAGAAAAATGGTAAATAATTTTACTTTCCTAATTACTGTTTGAAATTATGTCTTCAACTCCCTTAAAATACCTGCCGCTAGAGAAAAAGCAATTGTGAAGACAGCAAGCAATTAGTGTCTTTTGCTGATTTTTATGACAATTTTGGACACACTTCTTGAAACACTCTCTATGTGTGTGTGTGTATATATATATGTGTGTGTGTGCATGTGTGTGTGTGTGCACACATTCATAGTGTAGACCACTTGTAACGTAAATGCTTATAGTGCAGAACCGGTTACAGTGCGGTCTTTTTCAACTTCCGTTCACCCTTCTATAGAACCCCGTGTATATGTATATGCATACTGTTTAGTGTGCAGTTCCCAAAGATGACAGACTGGTTATAATGAGATTGCCGGAAAATATTTGAGACAATTGTGGTAGCGAGTGGGTGCCTGAAAGGAGGCGTGCTGGGTGCCACTGAGGAGCGAGCAAAGACATTGTTACGGAGGAGGAGGTGATGAGTAGTGAATAAACGAAGGGTGAGGGAAGGAAAGAAAAAAAGATGACGTCACGCTACGCGGGCTTGTTGAGAAGAAGGCGGACGGTTGCCTTTGCAATGGGTAAACCTTTGCACCGGCGCCAACGAGGCTGTGTAATTAGCAACACTGGCATGTTGCTAGCCGTGTGTGGCTCAACACGGAACGTGCAATCCCATCCTTATCAACTGCGGTTTACGATTTCCTTTCTGGAAAAGTGTCGTCATTATCGTGCTTGCTACAGATATCGTGTTTGCTACCTCGCCCGTAAATTGGTAGCTTTTACAGCTTTATAACGCAAGCTTTTGCCTTTGCTGCCAATGTGCTGTCTGGATTTTCATCGTTGTTGTTCTCCTGGCCGCAAACTTTGTATCACACACACTGTTTTTGGTTCAGTGCTTGAATGTGGTCTTTTCAACGCCGGATCATCATGTCTTGGGAAAACTTCCCGTGACTAAATACTGAACAGCATGCTAGCCCCAATCGTCATTGGTAGCGTTTTGGTAGCGGTCGCGTGCAATCTAAGTTGGAATTATGGTATGGAATCAATAAAACTCTTTGCGGTGGCTGCACCTAATGGGAAAAGATACATATCGTTTATGAAAACGAGGGTGGCATCTTTAGTGTTCGAATGGTGGTTTGTGATTAGATCACGACGTCCTGAAATCGGGTGCACACCCGTGAAATTGAACGATTGGCAGAGCGATAAATTCCAGACATGATTCGACATTTTCTGTAATGCACATAATTGAGGCGGTCTGAGGAGCAGTTGGCGAATTTCCGCGATGGTACTTAATCTTGTTAGACGCCCCTTTCCTTCCCCCCCCCCTTCTATATTAATTTTGTTGTCAATGTCTGTCTTTGGAGGTTAATTTTTTTTAACATTAAGAAATTTAGGACTTCAAAGCACCACACATCACATGCTTCTACTCTCAGACACCCGAGGCTGCTTGCTCAACATGTCTTGCACAATTGCGACCCTTGAAAAAGCTTGCTTTGGTTATAGTGCGGTACCGCTTATATTGCGGATATTCGCGACTCCTGCGACTTACGTTATAAGTGGTCTATAATGTATATATATATATATATATATATATATATATATATATATATATATATTCCAAGTGGCGACGGCGACAAACTCTGTTTGGAGGGCAACCGAAGGGAATCTACCAATGGAACACACACACTCCTTGTGAAGCTAATGGCAGGTAATTGAAGAACACTTTGTATCGGTGATGAAAGCCTGTGCCCATTGAGACAGGGTTGTTCCGAATGGAACATGATGCACGTGTCTCCCTTCCTGCATCAGTGGCCACACTGGGCACAGCTCCGCTACGCTAGCAAAACACGAGCACTGTATAGTCTGGCGCGACTAATGTCCGTTGGCATACCCACATTTGGTATAATTCTGGGGCATGGGGGAGCATTTGTGACTTTCGGTCGATTTCGTCACTTTTCACGGAATAGAAAAAGTTGCTCCATGGTGTGGATCTTGCGGCAGAGTTGCTCTGGATCTGTCAGTAGAACATACAGCGAGCACTCTCAATGTGGAACAGACTTGCTCCACGTGGAGCAGAAAAAGTGCTCACAGAAGTGCTCAGAATCTGCCAATAGATGACACGATGTGGGTGCTGTGCTAGGTGCTTTTTGTAAGCCATTTTTACCATATGTTTTTGTACTAGAATTTTTTTGTTCTGTACAAGTGTGTACATGTAAATGAATATTTACCATTTCTAGGAGTACATGCTTCACCTAAGGCCTGAAATAGCAGCCACCTCCCTGCCGGATGGCAAAACTTACTACAAGGAGTGTTTGCGGTACCACCTTGAGCTGGACCTTACACCTCAGGAGGTGCATCAGTTGGGTTTGGATGAAGTGAAGAGAATATCGGACAGCATGAAGCAGGTAACATCATCTTCACACATTGTGCCTGTTGAAATGAACTCTCAAGAACCAGAAGCATTTGAGCTTTATGTCTTGAGTTTCGGCTAAGGACATGATATGTCAAAAAGTACAAGTTGTGGCATTTTTAGAACTGTATAATCCTCCTTATAACTAAAAAAAATGTTCTAAGCAACATAATAAAAGTCACATTTTTGCCACAATGGTGAAACAGTGAATGTAATAACAATAAATTGGAATGTTATGCTAAGTAAGGCCAGTAGTCAACTCCTGCTGCAGCCAACCTGCCATAACTCAACAAAATGCCAGCATAACGAAGCAGTGAAATGACCTTGAATGCTATGTATTCAATGTAATCGGCATGTACAAATGTATGAGCTGTTAGCATGTTCCTGTTAAGAGAGGGCATACGCAATCGCACTTGGCAGATCATGTGCCATGCAGCCCCCTCTACAGGTCCTCCTATGAGCATTTCATGCGAAAAAGGCCTCCTATGGGTGTTTCAAGCAATAGAGAATGGCTGGGGTGTTTCACTTCCATTTGAGCCATCCTCGCCTGCTAATACTTGTACATAGAGATTGCGACATGTGGGCCCATGTTATCGTCTTTGGACTTCATATGAAACCTCAGTCTGCTGCCACCCATGATGCGAAAATGTGCCTTGATTGCCTATATAATTGCTATCCCAATATAATTCCTATCCCGATAATAACAACCTAGCCAATGTCAGTGAACAGAGAGGCCACAGTTACTTTCGTATACAGTTGAGCACACATATAACGACCCGACTTAAAATGAACTTTCACTTAAAATGAACAATATCTGCGTGGATGTGAAAATATACATTAGTTTAATGGCACAAAATCGCACTTACAATGAACGTCTCCAAGTGCCGCTGATCGGTTACAGCGAACGGAGTCGGCGCTCTGCCGACTTCCTGAAAAACCACTTTCCACCCTGGATCAGGCATCGGCGAGGTGCCCATACATTCTAATTGTTGAACGCCAACCCTGCCTCCATGCCCCTCTAGTTGCTGCTCTCCCCGACCGCTTTTTGTTATGCACCCCTCCATCCTTTGTCCTCACGCTACTCTGAGCACCCCGCATTGCCAGACGAGGCCCGTGTTTCCACACTGCCACCGATCTTTTGAAGACCGGTCGGTCATCTACCCTGTTTTTGATCGCTGGTACTGTCGTTGCTGTCGCTGGCCTGGAGTGATTAGGCCATTTGCCAACATCGTCGGCCGCTGACTGTATCCGATCGTCAGCGTCTAGTGCACGCGCGCATGCTACCCCACCGACTCTGATAATTTGCAATTCGTTTCGTGTTTAGGACTTGTTCTCGCTCACTTCGCACTCAACTCAGCATGCCCTCCGCACGCGTGCGGAAGGGTGGGAACGGCTATTAATTTGCGTGGAACGAATCGCGAAACATCGAATTTGGTGAGGCCACGCAAATCCGCCGGTGTGGGTTTCAAGCTCAAAAACTCTTTCAAGTTTTTCTACTTGTGAGTTGCGCGTTTCACGGACCTTTCAAGCAAGCTACCTAACCTGCCTCCTTCCCGTGTGTTTTGGCTTTCAAGGTCGCCCTCCCGCCACATCCTCCCCTCTCTATCACAACACCTTGCCCTTCTCTCGCAAATCTAGTCTCCTCTTTTAATCACAACCCCTTCGCCCGCTCCGTGACGCCAGTCACGCTGGCAAAAATTAGTTTCATTTTCCAACTAGAAACGGGCCCAGAGGTGTTTCACGCGTTCTGGCATGCGTGTCGCGTGTGCATGTCTTGCTTGCTCTTGGTGTGCGTGTGTGGTCAGGATGGCAGACAAGAGGACTTACACGCTTTTTCCTGCCGCTCAACGAAATTTCGAAAGTGTAGCCCTTGGCTTGAGCGTAACCCCCGCGTTAGGGGCCGCGTTGCGGAGTGCTTGCTCATAGCTGTTGACCACCTGGCAGCTAACTTGCCGCTTCGGAGGTCCCGGTATTCAGCTGTGGAGATGGTGAGTATTTCGTGGGCGGCGGTGACGGCTACATGTGTGCGGAACTGTTTTCGCGAGGCCGGCTTCGTCGACGTCAGGCCCCGATGCCGAGCCTGAAGCTTCCGAACAGGATCACTCCGGCAGCGATTTGTGGCAGCGCGTCGTCAACTCTGATCTGGGAGGGCGGGTAGGACATCTGTTGCGATGGTTTAATTATAGCCAATGATGGTGCCGACTCTGCGAAACCGTGCACGGATTAGGGCATTGTGAATGAAGTACGTGGCGAGAGGGATTTGGAGGAATTGGATTGCGAGAATGACAATACTTTGGAGACAGTGCCTCATGCAGCTTATGCCGTAGGCCTTGGCGAACGAGCACCCTGCCATTTTAAATGAGCTCGAGACCGCCCTTATTGCTTCTGCTTTTCGAAACGTGTGCATCACGAACTTTTTGAGCAAAAAAATTTTGTGTTTTCACTCACAGCTTTTTTAAAAGCTGTGTTTCATTTACTACAAACTTTGGGATACAGCAAATGGATGCCACGTCAGGCTCAGATTCGTTATAAGCGGGCTCGAGTGTATTCATCAATTTATGGCATGTGAGCTACTGTGTTAGTCAGCTAGATGAACACTTATTGAAAAGTTTTGTAGTTTTTCAGCTGTTCTTCATTGAAGCTTTTTTTAATGCAAAGCATTTCGTAGTGAACTTCGGCGACTTTAAGCGTATCTATCTATCCGTCCGTTCGTCCGTCCATCCCTCCCTCCGCCCGCCCGCTTACGTTTGGTTACTCTCGTGGTCACCCCCTTAACTTTGCGTGAACCAAAATTAGCATGGGAGGGTAAGATGGCTTGACGAATATGAAGCAGTGGTCAAGACATGAATAATGTCGCAATCCTGTCACGAATTCAGACAGTGGCACATGCCCACGTGCAAGTATGCACCGCTGGTATGCAGGTATGTGTCAAAGATGATTGAAACTTAGTATCTACCCAGGAACGACGATAACACACATAGGCAATTTTAACGCGTTTGCATTAAACAATACCTGACATCAATAGCGTCAAATCAATGAAGGCATAGAGTAATTTCAGTGTTAAGGAAAACCTGATATATACAGCGTTGACCCCCCGACGAATGCAAATAATGAATTTCAGGGTCCCAGCAGGAATCCAATCCAGGAATTCTGTGTGGCAGTCAAGCATTCTACCACAGAGCTAAAACGCATCTCGGAAATACTTTTTAAATAGACGCTAAACTTCATGAAACACCAATAGGGATTGCAGTGCTATCTACCCAATTTTATAAACGTTATATATGCACTTTTTTGATACAGCCGTCACGTCGGGTTAACGTCAATTGTGGCTAGTTGCCATGCGCTGAAGTTGATTTTTGTAGCAGTGTCCAGGACCAGCATCCTCTCGAGCATCAGTGCTTCATATCAGCTTCTGGTGTTGCTAATACGCATGCTCCAGTTGACGTCGTTGCGCAAGTGCAAACAACTCGTCATGTATGTAAACATCTGGAGCTCTTCAACATATATCTGTACGTGAAATATTCTATATTTAACGTCATTTTATGGCGTGTCGCTCAATAAAAATATTGAAACATGGTCACCTTCCCTCTGCATGCCTCGCATAACGTCGATTCCCAGGTACGTGGGATCTGCTGTTTTTTTTTTCTGTTAACAGTTGGATAAGATGTCCTTCGCATTGTACAGAGTGTGCAATACATATTGCTCACAATAGTACTGTATTTACTTGCATAATGAACCCACCTTTTTCTCAGAAAGTTGACACCAGTTTGTCGGAGTATTCATTGCGCAGGAGAAAAAAAAGTCACGGGAGTTATAACAGCGAAAATTTCGCATGATGGTTTTGCTTGTCTTGGTTTGTGAAATGTGCAGCGAATAGTTTCTGTAGCTCGAAGCTCTTCTTGTTTTCTATCGTAACGAACATGCAAGGATTGACGCCGAAATGTCGTCCAGACGGTCGGTTCCCGTGCTCCAGTGCATGCTCGACAAACTTTTAGCCGAATGGCCCTGCACAGCAGATGTTCACTACAACAAACCCGATAACAAAAACGGAGCAGATGGTGGTGCAATAACATTGCAGGAGCACAACACGCCATCGGCGCGGTTGCGCTTTGCATGGCCTCTGAGATGGGGGCGCATGGCGTGTTTCTACGTCGCACGCTAGCTTAAAAGGCCATGCGCTTTGTTTTTTGCTTTGGTTTCTTGCTGCTGTGCTTTCGTGGCGCTATAGGCAAAGAGGTTTCTCCTGCATTCGACAGATGGCGCTCTGCAGCAAAAGGCGCAATTTTGATTTACGTCATCTGAGCTCGCGCTGCTCGCAACTGTTTAGCATGATTGTTTTGACAATGTTTTGACTTTTATTGCGTTTATATTTTGTGATATAATGGGTTGTTTTAATGTTGTTTTGATCATCAATGGTACTGGTTATCATACAAAACAAAATGAATAGATACATTAATCTTTTCTTCTTTTTTTTCTTCTTTTTTTTTTCGAAGACAAAGTTGGGGGGTGAGTTCATTATGTGAGTAAATACGGTACTTGTGTTTGCGCAGAGGTGTTCGGAAGCTACCAGGCCGCTGTACTATGTAATCCTACGGCATCGCAGCCTGGGAACTTTTGACCACTCCTGTATAAATAAATGCCCTTACATGCATTAGGGTGTCCTCAGACACTGTGCACTAAGAAGCAACAAGGTTGATAGAATTGTTGCCAAGCTCTGCACTGGAATATTCTACCTTAGTGCTGACATTAAAACCTTTGCAAATATTGCAGTCAATAGCTGCTCAGACTGCATAGCCAACACCACAGGAAATTAAGAAATAAGCATAGCACTTCAAATTCTATTTATTTACAAATCATGTGCATTTAAGTTGGCTTTAACATTTTCCAGATTATCAAGTCTTTGGGTTCTAATGCAAGCCCAAAGGAATTTTCCGAGATGATTCGCAATGATTCATCTTTCCTATGCCAATCAAGCGTGAGTTTTTTACTTCATTAAGTATCAAATATTACAAGTGTTGTCCTATTATAGATGTTTCTCAATATGTCTTATAGATGCCTCTCATTGGACACAAAAGTGGCTCCAAAAGTAAAAAAAAAATCTATTTTGATTGCAAAATTATGCTTCAACATGGTACTTTTATGTGTGAAAAAATTCAAGCCATTTCTTGAACCAGACGACTGTAAGAAATTATTTTGATCGAAGCATGGTAAATCTGTAGCCTTTCTTTTTGCAATCATGCTTAGCTGAGGAGTCTTGCTTAGCACAAGTCGAGATGGAGAGCTTTCCCGGTGCAAGAGCAAGCACTTGCCAGCTTCGCTCAAATCATCATCAGTTCGTTCTGCGTATTCCATCAGTGCTCTGGTGAAGCCTGTGCTTCCCACGAATGAATACAGCCAAACCCCTATATGAGACAGTGATTTAACAATTGCGTATAAGAAGCGGCAGTGTTGCTACCTTTAAATAGGGTTTGATAAGGAAGCACATATATGGTACCCTGCATGTTAGAGACACCTCATGTAAAGGACAAGTATTGCTGTTCAGTGCATGTCTTTTAATGAAGGGGTTCAGCTGTAGCTGACAAGCAAAAAAATGGCTTTTGTGATTTAGTTCTCAAAGTAAATGTGAAACAGCAACTGAGTCCTAATAGCATTATTTTGTTTTCATGCCCAAGGACAAGATTTGCATTAGTTGCATACTTTTGTGGACATTACCATTGTGGGCATTACCTCCTCTATGGCCATAGTGTGGTTCAAGAAAAACCACTAAGGCTTCGTAACATTTGTACAGGAATTCGCTATCTTTCAACACTGGAGTTATTTGTGCTGAGCAATCATTGCTGGAAAAAAAATAATAATAATATTTGCTTTGCATTTACATTCTCAGTCCACAATACGATTGAGTGAGATGCCATAAAAGAGGGTTCTGGAAATACAGTATTAAAGAATCTGTGAAGCAGATCACTGAAGCCAAATGCTGTCATTGGAGTGTGGAAACGGATGAGCTCGGCGGGAGAAGCAAGCTTGAAAAAAAATCCTAGGATACTACCAACATAACATAATTTTTAATTGATGAAGCATTTCACTTAAAAGGGCTTGGCAACATTATTTCATGTAATCATCAAATGGCTTCATTAAAAAATATATTGCCTCATGAATCAACTGCCGCAAAAATTTTCAGAATTCATTAAGTACAAGCAGTGTTACAGGGATTTGTTGCACAGGTCAAGCACTTTATATCTCCTTTTGTTCTAGCAAGCATGCTGAGAGTTACGCCAGGAGGGGGATGACAACGGTCTAGAAGTTGTATCCCTTCATCAGCATGCATCATGACATATTAAGCACTTCTTTCTTTCTTTCTTTTTTCTTTCGTCGTCTTCTTCGAACAGGCAGCTTTCTGTCTGTGTGATTGCGAGCAAATACGCTGGTTCATCGCGGCAGTCCATGGTGGTTGTGGTACTAGCTGTGCAGCTCGCCATGCTCATATCTGCCACTGCCGTTGATTGTGTGCTTATGGCATGGTCATTGGGATTTTTTGCATCATTTGTCAAGAGAATTAGGCATTTCTAGCTGACTTAGAAAATTAATTGTAAATTCTAGGTCGTGTGCTGTGCTGTAATATTTGGCTTCGCGTGTACCGGGAGCCTCGACTAGTGATCGACGGCATTTTACGACCATGCTCAAAAAGTGTGGCAGGGCACTCTAGCAGGACACTAAAGAGAAAACTGGTTTTTCTCATATTAGTTAACTACTCCTTTAAAATATTAAAATCACCATGCTTGTCGCAAAAAGAAGCATGGTGAGCGAGAAAACACATAAAAAAGAAGCGCAAGTGGTGACATCATCTTCAAATCACTGCATCCATCGTGATGACTTCACAGATTTTGACAATGTTTGCTAGGGCCTATATAGTTCCTATTCAGTAAAAATAAAGGGGATTGACCAATGAGAGCGCTAGAGACTCAACATGACAAGTTTCAGGATGTTACAATGAGACACATTGGTAAAGTACGAAAAATCTACTTTGAAATTTGTGACATCATACACAGAGGTTTCGTCGCGAAATTTAAAGGCGAAGCTTTGAGCTTGATTTGTTTCTTTATTATCAAAGCTATGATTGTGCAATCATCAACATTAGAGTTTTTAAAGTAAAAGTTATCTATGTAAACTGATTCACTGTTTCACATTAGTGTCAAACAAAAGGTGCATTCTTGCTCACATGAAGACACGAACAATGAAATGCTCAACTGCAACGGCTTCTTTATTGTTCAAAGCCCCATTTCGTGTATTGTCACCTATCAAGGGCATGGAGTTTGACAGCTGTTACAGCAAGACCCAAAGCAGAAACAGAATAGACCAAGGTGACATTTTCTCTTAAAATTTCATGCTAGATGGGACCCAATTCCAAGTTCGTGGCTTGCTTTTTCAGAGAATCATACTGAGGGACAACTAAGACTCTTCATGCCTTGCACCTTCACTACTCTTAATGGGCTGGCCATCAGTGGCTTTATCAGGTTTTTAGACCTTGATGTACACTGCTCTTAAAATCTGCTTCTGCACAGGATTAAGTCTAGTCCACTTATACCGATATTATTTAAAACAGTATATTAGATATAACAATGAAAACGATGGCACTTTTCACTTTTGTGTACTTTCTATAGTAAAATAATAAACAGCTTTTACCATGTTTCAATGCTGCGACATTGGAAAGAGAGATTAAATCCATTTTTACGTTATTGCACACTGCTTGAAAGACAAACACTTGAGATGAAGGACTAGACTAGTCCTTCATCTCAAGTGTTTGTCTTTTAAGTAGTGCACAATAACCTAACAATGAATAGCTACCAACTGGCCCTAGCAGGTACCCTTATAGATTAAATCCAGCTACAGCGCATGCTGAAAATGGCTGTCCACACCAACAGCACGCACCTCTATGCACCCCGCACCTTGTCCACGCCCTCACAAAACAAGTCAACTACACCTTTTACAAAGAAACATTAGGAGGAGGAGCTTTTGTTCTGAACTTCTGAAGCAGTGCCAGGAGAGGCCTACAAAGTGCCCATCGCCGAAGAGATGCCGAAGTTGTGGTTGGCGCTTAACGAAGATGTGTTGTGTCTGGAAATGCAGACGATGTTGTGAAAATGTCAGAGTGCCTCTGTGATAAGGTGATAGTTGCACTTATTTGTGTTGTAGACAGCGGTGAGAGCGGCGACTTCGACGACATGGTTGAGCAGACTACCCAGATACTCTCATCCCAGAAGGCCCAACAGCTGATACTGTGTCTCTGGAGCTTAGTTTTCTCAAAGGATCTCCCGCTCAGCTACATAAAGCACCTTGAGGTTCTAAAGAAAGATGTGCACAAGCTTCGCGTGAAGCAACCAAAGCTGACAGACTGGCTTTTCTACAAAAAAAAGTACTAGTTGCTGTATCTTACTTGCATGCAAATAAAATGCTTTGACCTCTTGTTACATTTATTTTCTCAACCTGCTTATAGCAATTATTTGTCATAACGATGGGATTTTGTTGGCACTTGGATATCGTTATAAGTGGAATGCACTGTAGTTATACATATGTGGCCAAGTCTGGTAACCACTACCTCCCATGACAACAGTGATTAACCCTCGGCCCTTAGCCCCCAGGGACTGCGAAGCAACTGTCCAAGGCAGCGGTCAGACCTGCGAAGCAGCGAAGGGTGCTAAGAATCTCTGGGTCCGGACAGACCGCCATTGGAATCTGAACTTGGCTACTATTAATGATCGAACGCTATCTAGTGAGGCTAGTCTAGCTGACCTGTTCGAGGACTTACCCCCGAATGCAGAGATGTTACTTGGCTTGCGCCTTCGACATGACTTGAGTAAGACTGCGTGAAGCAAGCACCGGACTTCAAAACGCAAGTCGGCCTTCGCATTTCATAGATGCTCAGGCTGTCTTGCTTGGTCAAGTCAAGAATGAGCTTCAAAGCAGAAACATATTGCTCACCTGGTAACGAGGTTAATAATGAAGTTGTTCGCCTGATGCCCGTGTTACAGCAAAAAAATATCGTACATTTTAAAATAACTATAACAACGAAGTGCCACAAGCATATTTTTGCCATTTCGTGGCTAACAAGGGGCACGTGGTGCTTGCTGCCGCAGCAATGCGCAGTGTTGCTTTTGTAAAGCGTCTGTTGCCCGCTGGTTTCAGTGGCCACCCAAATGCAGCACCTTTTTCCACGCTTGCTTGTTTGGAGGCGAAACGCGCATATTATAGGGTTCTTCCGTCGTTTTTTTTTTTTAAATCGATGGCCACGGCATGTATTTGTGCTTACTTGGCTCGCTAAATTGTTTACTATGTACATTAACGCATGGTCACATGACAGGGCATTCATGATAGTTTATGTTTTTGGCACCAGAGATGCCACAGGCCATTTTTCGCTAATTTCAATGAAGAAATAAAAATAAAAATTGACTTTTCACGAGAAAAACAGAGTTGGTTTGAATCACTATAAGGGACAATCTTTCCATGCATGCAGTCATCTCATTTCATGTTCTGGGCAGTTGTCGGTCCCTTCAAACCACCTTTGTCACAGTACACTATTAGCCTGCGAAAAAGCATATTAAGATTTGGAAGGGACTATTAGCTCTAGTCGCAGTCGCAGGACACGGAACGTTTTGTTCAATTAATCGTGCGTGTGTACACCGCAGAAAGCACTAGTATGATCGCTAATGTCTACAAAGTTTCTAGCAATTATTGGGAACAGTGTATGACATTTCTGCAGCCCTTTAAAAAAAAAACTATATGCCTTTATTTTTTCGCCACCATACTCCTCAGTTTTACAAATCTCTTGATTTTCAAGTTTGCTGGCTTGCAGATTCACATTTCAATCCTCAGAGTCTGTCAAATGCTAATGTTAACTTTATCATTGTTTCTTAGTGGGATTTTTCAAAATACTACTTCTATTGAAATAGCAGTGCTCATGTTTAGGTGATTCAGGTGTTGTTGAATGGTGCGTACTCATTTCTTTTTCTAAATGTAAGCCTTGTTTTTTATATACTGCTTCAAATTTGGTCTTTCGTGATAAAAGTTTTTTTTTTTGTAACCTGCCCCAAAATTTAGATTTCGTGCTCCAAAAATTGCTTCGAATTCTATTTCAGGTGTTTGCACCCCCGTTATTAACAAAGATGGATTTCAAAGGAACCCTTTAGCACATTGATGAAACAGAAGTTTTCGCTATTTAGGTATACTGTGAATGCTTTAAACATGGTTCTGTTTTGACAAGTTATTTAAGGAAAAACATTGTACAAGCAGCAGCATTTTGTGTACTTAAAATGTAGCTTCTAATTCCTCAGTATTAGAGGTAATGGTTACAAAACAAAGTATACTGTAAAAAAGTGTTTTGCACAAGAGGGGAAGCACTGCAAGTGATAACAAGGTCTACCATTGCATGGAAGGGGTTTCCGAATGCTGGTGCAGTAAGATCATCACCAGCAGTATTGCAAACATTGCATTTCATCAATGTATGAGATCAAACAAGAAGAGTCAGCACTTCTCACTGCTAAAGTAAAGTTTACATAGACTTAGCTTGATGTTTACTGTTTGTTTTACTCGGACTCAGACAAGCGTGCGCATCAATGCGGAGTATACATAGCTGGTCAGCAGGAATGCTACTGCGTGTGTGTGTGTACAGTGCTCGTGAGCCGGTTTTCAACCCAAATGTCTTGTTCTCTTTCTGTAGGAGGAGGTTGTGAGGATGTATGAACAGCTGCTTGATGAAGAAATCAACCCTAAGCTGCTAACTATTTTTTCTGCAGTGCCAAAATCCCCTCTCAGGTTAGTTTTTTACATTATTTGTGCACATAGGTTGCATCATATTTCGAGGCAGTGTTACTTTGATGAAGATCAGCAAGAAGGCACCTCTGCATTTTCAGAAGTCTTTCGCACCTTTCTACATTGACAGCGAAAATTTGAAATAGAAATTTAGATTTACATCTTTAATGATTGTATATGTGAAGAGGGCAAATGTAATGACACAGGTCCATCTAGCAAATTATGATGCTTGTAAATGAGCTGTTATCCACACTTCTTTGAACCCTTAAAAGTGTCGTGAGCGAGAGATGTGCCTTCCAGTGAATACAACACTTGAACCTTATCAAACAAAGTTAAAAGGGGAGCTAAAATTACATAGTTATAGCCATTATTGACCGTTTGCTACACATATGCCCAGTCAGGCCTGCATGTTTGAACATGTAAACAAGAAGGTGGTGTTGTGGCTGTGTTCTACCTCTACTCATCTTCAATGGGTTTCTTTGCAGTGCACATAAAAGACAGAATAAATTTAGGCACAAATACATACACAGGTTGCTAACTTATAGTAATGGTTTACTTTTGGAAACCAGCTTATGCTTATTTATACACCCCAGGAATAGCCACGTGATCATGTTGAACAAAGCGAGAATTATGTTGATATGTGAAGGCATATACAGATATAAAATTTACTCGCATAATGAACGCACTTTTGTTCTAGAAAAATCAGAGAAAAGTTTTGGGTTCATTTTATTATGTGGGGCAAATTTTGTGAAAACTTTTTTGGGGTGAGCAAAAATGTGGTGATGCAAAAAAAAAAGTTAGGTGCCCTTCGTCTTTCAAAATTGACATACGCATATACTGTTTAGAAACAGCTTCTTTGTTGCGCTTCACTTATCTTTGGTGTTTGAAAACACTATCTTCTGCAAGCTGTCTCAGCACCACTGGTGCACTCCATAGAACCATTTCATGGTTTTCTTTTCTGCGCAATCGTTTACCCACAAAAGCGGTATCTGCTGTCATCTCAAGGGGTGCCCACAAGCGTGCGCTGTTGCGACCAGGGTTTGCGGCACCGATGATCCGGGATCAAGATGTCGAGGCAGGAGGAGGTTGAACTTCGTAAAGAGGGTTTATTTACATTATTTACATGTCACGGGCTCTCTGGTCCGAAGCTCTACACTGAAAACTCTACATGGAAAAAGGCTATCTATTGAACAAGCTCCGTGAACTGCCCTAAGCAGCCCGCGAGGGCTGATTAAATACAGTCTCATCTCCCCAGATTCCTAGATCGGGGAATAGGTCGATACGGCACTGTCCAATAACATGTCCCGCAGCACACACAAGTGTCATTATGCCGGCACCGCCTCCAACAAACACACATACACAAACCAAACACGTGTATTTTCCCGGCGATGCTGCCTCCTCCGGCGAATCTTGCTTCCAGCGAGCGGGGTGAAACGTGTTTGTCATCTCGCCGCTCGCGCCGACCACGCAAGCTTTGTCGAACAGCGATCGCGATCTAGGCGCCTCCGAAGGGCCATACCTGGACATCTGGTACTCATTTAAGCATCGGCGACTCATCAGTCAGAGACGCACAGCATGGTGATTCGACGTCTGTAATTGGTGGAAGCTCGGCATTGGGCACAAAGACGCCACGTGTTGCATCTCTGCCCGAACCCGAAGGACAGCGGTGCTCCGTAGAGTAATTTCAGCCACGCAGTGTCCAGTACATGGAAACAGCAGGGTGTCTTGGCGCTGCTCCTTATCTCTACAAAATGAAGCGGCTGCCTTTCTTCCGTTCTGGTGGCTGCGAAAAAAATTTGTGCCGCCAAAGCTAGTTGTCAGTTTCCTTTTAGCTCACAAAGAGATAACTGTCATGCTGCACAAGCATCAGGAACATCCACATTACATGTCCCCAAACGCACGCTATAGCGCTACTGCGTGGATGAACTACTAATTAACTTTCTCTTGCAGTTACCACTCTTTTAAAACATACTCGTAACCTCATGAACTAACATTCTTACTCACATCCACACCGGACACATGCGAAACAAACAAAAATAACAACAGAAAAAACTGCTGCATGAACCCTGAAAACTTGCAAGGAATATCCTTGCGTCTTCGCGCTCACTCAAAATTTCTTTCTAATGTTGCCCTTACTCAACAAACATTCCTAGGCGTGTTGTTATGCAACTGCGCAGTGCTTACCTTTAAAATCAAAACATGCACTGCTTTAGAAATGAAGAAAACCTAGAACTTGTTACCGAAACGCTATCGCGTATCCGAAATACTTACAAAACACTTTCCAAAATTAAAACAGTCAAAACAGAACTTCAAAAGGAAAACACAAATAAATTCGCTAACGAGCCTTTCTAAACACTTACCGCTGTCACTCAATTTTGAGACGAACGCGTGACGATCGAGCCCTGTGGGCCTTTTTTTAGCGAACGGAGGAGAGAACAATTGCAAAACCCATTCGCTTCACCTTCGAGCCCCGCTAAGCTCTTCCTCGCTGGCGACCTGCATTGTTCCCCTCGCTCGGCTATTTCTTTCGAGCCAGCGACCTTGCGCACCCCTGTCCCATCAAACGTGTCGTGGATAAAACTACGGAAGTCTGACTGTCTCTTCCCTTCTTTTTGGATTTTCACCCAAAGCGCTTTTTTTTTCTTTTTGTTCGAACGCTCGGGCGCATGCAAACCAACTTCGGCGCGGACGAAAAGGACCTCACTCTGTTTACTACGCTCCTTCCTTCTGTTTGTATTTTCACCGAACGCACTTTTCTTTTCCTTTTCATCTGGGACACAGGTGGAGCAACTCTGGTGCCGTCAACAAACGCCTAATTCGGCTCACTGCGTTTGAATGCTCACTGCCTTCCTTCAAGCGTGTTGTGCTTTTTGTCTCACTCCTGCCATTACGATGCCGCTTCCGCCTATGCCTCTTTTTGGGGTCCATTTCTAACCCTTCCACTCGCCTCTCTTGCTCACCAGTACTCAGAATGGTTTCGTTAGCTGTCTTGCCCGCACAGTCTGAATGATTTGCACACAAATCATCTTCTCCCTCACTCTCCAGACTGGTGGACAGCTTAATACCTCTTGTAACTCTGCAGCTGTTTTCTTCCGAAGAAGCTAGCTCGCACTCCAGGGAGCTGCCCACTACTGCATTGTCCTCACCCATCTCTATTATCACTTCATCCCCTAAATTCACCCCATTGTCCCTGACAAGTGGGTCAAAATCCTCTTAAACACCGCATGCAGGACCCACCGTTGCAATACTCTCACATGGACCAGGCTCACCTACTTGGGAGCTGTCCAGAACTACTCTACCCTGCGCTGCTTCCATACGCCCTACGCTGGTGTTCTTTCCCAGCGGGTCGAAATTTCCTCTGACTCTACGGGCAAGATTCCACATCGGGACATCCTCATTTTGTGTCTGTGCCAGGTTGTCTACAACTATCTTAGCTGTTTTACTAGAATTCCCCTGACACAGGACTTCACCACATTTACCATGGCCTTCGTCGGCATCTACTCTTATCGCGGCTTCTTTTGCAGCTGTCAACCTTGGTTAATTCGTGAACCTACTGCTACCCTCGTAGTTGCTAGCTTTTCCTGCGGCTCCGATTTGCACCACACTCAACTGTTCCTCGCACTTCTGGTGTGCCAGCTGTACTGATTGACCGCTCCTCTGCTTCGCATCTAACCTGTGTTCTATCTAGTCTTTCACACTCGCGTTAGAATTTTTCCTCCTCCTCCGCCATTTCTTGCGTCGCCTTCCTGTGTTCTTGATCCCTTATTCTCTGTTTTTCTATCCATTCTTGTTCCATTAAATACATATTCCCGAAGTGCTCAATATCAGCTGTGCTACTTTTACTTTCGAGAATAACCCCACGGAGTTTAAATATCATCCTCGAATTCTAGGTCGAGATCCCAACTCAGGTTTCGCAGGTTATCTCTCGTCAATCTCATCAGGTCCATGGCGACTACTTTGCTTTGGCTCAGCTGTGAAAAAAAAAACACAAACCCACCAGCGTTTCAATTCTGGGTCTGGAGAAGTTGAAGTCTGGTAAATCCCACAGTGGAAACCGAAAGCATAAGCACACAAGTAGATCTATGAGGCCAGCGTCCCTCTCTAGACTTTTCCTATTTCTTTTGCACTCCTCTGCTCTCCTCAACTTTTCAAAACTTTCCCGCAACGTACCTTCACAACTTGCACAAAACTCGCAAGTTCCTGCTAAATTATCTGAGCTTTCGTTCTTAACCCACTTGCTGAGATAAACATCAAGTGCTGCTCTGTGCTCTACTTACAACCACAGGGGCTAGGAAGTTGTCCGTTATATCTGTCTTTTAAGGGGGCAGACTCCTTTTATACACTTTTTCATTATTTTTTGAGTGATCTTGATGAAACTGCACAGGTTTGTGCAGTTTTTTCTGCTGATTTCAAATGTGCAATTACTTTTCCTGTAACTCATCTCATTCTCAAGATAATGCAAGTTCAACCCCCGTTGTTTAAGGCCTCGTTAGAAAAAAAAGTGCCGAATTAAAAGCAACATTTAAGATATGGCAACATAGAATAATGATGGAAGATTGAAATAATGGAAGTAGTTTATTTTATTTGGCTTTTTTAGTTATTTTATGGCAGATTGAATTTTACACTCAGAAAAAGCAGTTGGTATGCTATTACAAATTTGATAAATAATTAAATAAAAAGGCTTGTTTTCTAAATTCCATTTCCATACTTGCATTCTACACACATCAGGTTTCTATAGCAAAGAGAATTATTGTTCTAGCTGCCATAGCTGCCGAGATATTGAGGCCTCAAGATTGAACAGAGTCATAAATTCACATTTTGAGAAAAATGGCAAAAACAGATAACACACACTTTATACAAAAAAACAATAAGAAAATGCATATTTCACAAAGTAGATACTAATATCCACCAGGAACATAGTCTGACTGGTGCTTAGCACTGCGGTGGCACTTTTTTAGTGCTTGCTGGAGCTTTTCACTCGAGGCACGCTTGCGATTTGAGTC